GACAATATACAGCCTTGTCGTACTCCTTTCCCAATTTTGAACCAATCAGTTGTTCCATTTCCAGTTCTAACTGTTGTTTCCTGTCCCACATATAGGTTTCTCAGGAGATAGACAAGGTGGTCAGGCACTCCCATTTCTTTGAGGACTTGCCATAGTTTGCTGTGGTCCACACAGTCAAAGGCTTTTGCATAGTCAATGAAGCAGAAGTAGATATTTTTCTGGAACTCTCTGGCTTTCTCCATAAACCAGCACATGTTAGCAGTTTGGTCTCTATTTCCTCTGCCCCTTCAAAATCCAGCTTGTACTTCTGGGAGTTCTCAGTCCTTATACTGCTGAAGCCTGTCTTGTAGGATTTTGAGCATAACCTTGCTAGCGTGTGAAATGAGAGCAATTGTACAGTAGTTGGAGCATTCTTTCGCACTGCCCTTCTTTGGGTTTGTAATGTAGACTGATCTTTTCCATTCCTCTGGCCACGAGTTTTCCAAACTTGCTGGCATATTGAGTGTAGCACCTTAACAGCGGCATCTTTTAAGATTTTAAATAGTTTGACTGGAATGCCATCACCTCCCCTGGCCTTGTTGCTAGCCATGCTTTCTAAGGCCCACTAGCATTCTTTCGCACTGCCCTTCTTTGGGTTTGTAATGTAGACTGATCTTTTCCATTCCTCTGGCCACGAGTTTTCCAAACTTGCTGGCATATTGAGTGTAGCACCTTAACAGCGGCATCTTTTAAGATTTTAAATAGTTTGACTGGAATGCCATCACCTCCCCTGGCCTTGTTGCTAGCCATGCTTTCTAAGGCCCACTTGACTTCACTCTCCAGGATGTCTGGCTCAAGGTCAGCAACCACACTATCTGGGTTGTCCGGGACATCCAGATCTTTCTGGTATAATTCCTCTGTGTATTCTTGCCACCTCTTTTTGATGTCTTCTGCTTCTGTGAGGTCCCTACCATCTTTGGCCTTTATCATGTCCATCTTTGTACAAAGTGTTCCTTTAATATATCCAGTTTTCTTAAACAGATCTCTGGTTTTTCCTTTTCTGTTATTTTCCTCTATTTCTTTGCATTGTTCATTTAAGAAGGCCCTCTTGTCTCTCCTTGCTATTCTTTGGAAGTCAGCGTTCAATTTTCTGTAGCTTTCCCTATCTCCCTTGCATTTTGTTTCCCTTCTCTTCTCTGCTACAGTATTTGTAAGGCCTCCTTGCTCTCAAAACCCTAAAATTAAGAGTGAAACCCCATTGCTTAGGGGCTTAGACAGGTCAACATAGGCACAATCTCCAGCAGTTGAAGGGGTCTACTCTAGCTGCCACAGACCCCTGACTTGCACGTAGATAGACCTGTTAAAGCTCCTTTTCCTTGCTGGTGTGGGTGAGAGAGAAAGAAACAGGGGTGGAGACTCCATATTAGAACCCCAGGTGTGAACCTAAGGAAAGTTTAATTCGGATTAACATCCATTTTCTCTTTCAACAGCATCTCCTGGCTCCCAGCCTGGTTTCTAAATTCTTTAACATATCCCTTTTAAATAGTTTTACATGACTGTCCTTTTATTATTCCTATACATTTGGCTGGATTTTAACACCCCAAAATATAGCTTTTAAAAAAATTAATTTTTGTAATCCGCCTTGGGGGAAAGCCGGGTTATACATTAGATACAGCAGTGTGAAGATCAGAAAAGCCACCCACCGGATCAAGAGAAACCCAGGAGGGTTCAATTAGATCCGTTTGAATGAGGGCGAAATGGGAGACAGGTGGGGATCTGTCCCCTGACCCGCGACCTGGAGGGGCGTGGCCAGACGCGGAGGGGCGGGGCTTGAGGACCACGCCCTGCTCTGATTCCGATTTTAAAAGGAGTGGGAATTAATTCGAATTTTCTCACTCCCCCCCCTTCTCGGAGCGATACGGGGCCTTCTTCCCATGGGGTTTACTCCCGAGTAGTTGCCGAGGCACTAAATCCTGCGTTACTAATAGCCACAGAAATCATCATACTGTAATCCGTTTCTCATACCCGCTCCTGTTCCATCAATTAAGCAGTGAAGGCTGAGAAGCAATCCTGATTTTTCCAGAAAGCTTGGAGCCCAACCCCTCAGGCCCACCATGTTCAATGGACCTGAATTCGCAAGGTACCTGGGAAAGGCAGGCTTATAGTGGGAGGTTGCGGCTTAGCTTGCTTGTGGACCGAGGTCGGGGAGCGAGAGGAGAGAAAACAACTTAAAATGTAATTAAAGGCAAGTGGGGTGTTTAAATCGTGTTAAACTCATCGAGGGTGCGTTACTCCTCCTGTTCAGTTCAGTAACGTTACACATCGCTCTCCCTCAACTTGAAAAAGCATCGGAATTCAATGCAACCTGGCTTTTCCAAAGCCATGTAACGTGTGAACTGGGTTCTGCCTCTGCTCAAGTTACAGCATGGGTGAGTAACAGAATACCCAGATTTTGGAAACGTGACTTTTGGGGTGGGAGTTAGAATTAAGCAACGTTTCCTAACTCTTCGGGATGATTTACCCCGGAATCCGTGTCATGCACAAGTATTCCCCGCGGGGCAGGTTTTCGGGTATAATGTATACTTAGAATGGAGGATATCTCATTCATCCGTGTTTTTTTCTCTCTCTATGTGTGTGTGCAGTGGAGAATGTTAGAAAATCCAGAATACGAAAGAGTCACGTGCTCTGATCTATCGGCCTCGATTCATGCTTTATGAGCTCCTAATTTTATTACCATATTTAACAAACAGGAAGGGCGTGCCCAGGAGCCATTTAATTCCAAGAAACACGAATTTCCATTATAGTATTTGCTTTTTCTGCTCAAAACCCCAAAGGGAAGGGTTTAAAAAAAAAACCCGTGTAAACTCTGCCGCTGCCTTAAATTTATGGTTTTCTTTTTCAGCCATTAAAAACAACAACAGCGAAACTTTTCTCTAGTTCTTTTCACCAGTTAATGTTGAAAGAAACTAAATTTTCTTGAAAGCACTAAACCCCTGGTGATGATTATGATTATAATGTCGTGAGACATTCTTAATTATTTTTAACAGCCAGAATAGGATGTGATCCTTTATTTGTCTGCGGGGGGGGGGGACTACTGAATGATATATAATTTTATTTTATTTTGCCAGCAAATAATTTTAGACGGCGATCTGAAAACGAAACAAAACAGCTCTAATCCCGAACCAAATGGAAGTAAATTGAACTTCAAAACTGCGGAGGTGGCCCTACTAAGGGATCGGGTCCAACAGGAAAAGTTTGCACTCTTGCAGGAGAGTAAATCTGCTGGAAAAATGCAGGCTTTGTTCGGAGTAGACGTCTGCGTAAAGTCGCCGGCTTAGAAATTTCTGCCCGTCAATTATAGGATTGGGGCCCCCGTTTCTCTGCGTTTCTCGGGCTTCACTTCCGAGTAAACCTGCCTCCCAGCCTTGCGCGGGCGTTTTCATGACTCCCCCCCCCCAAGAAAGCCCCAAGGCAGCGATCCTGGAAGTACTTAAGGAGCATCAGTTTTCAATGGGACTTGCTCTTGAAAAGGTAGGTATGGAAATCTGCAGTATAGGGCTTCTGGGCTCACTTTGGGCTTAATCCGAATTAAATGTGGATCTGGAAACTCCAGTTCTCCTTTTCAAAACCCCATGGATTTCCCAACAAAGCAATGATCCCCAAAGGTCTCTTGGAGGAATTACTGACCTCCAAAATGCCTTTAAAATGCTCCAGGTTTTGCAAAATCAGGGCCAGTGGCTTCCTCAACGGAGTCCATCCACCTCACTTTGGGGTTTCCTCTATCTCTGCTGCCTCGCCCCTTTTCCAAGATGCTCGCTTTCTCCAGTCAGTCTTTCCACCCCGTGATAACCTTTATGGCGGACCTTCTTGGTTTCCATCAAGGTGGGATCTCTTTGGGTGATCTATCGGGAATCTGCATTCAGTTCGAATTCGGCTCCAGATCGGACCCCCTCGAATATGTTTTTCAGGTGTAGTTTAATCCCCTCTAAGAGAGAGAGACCCTTTTAAACTAGCTTTCCTGTAGGTCAAATCTTAAGACGTTCTCATGGAGTTAAGTTTATTTAAGGCCATAAAAGCCATCCGGGAAGTGTTCCTGATTTTCATAACAGCAGAGAAAAGAAAGCAAATAATGGAACTTTAAAGGCCGGGCTGTCTCATCTTACCAAAGAAATACTCGCTTTTTCTCTTTGCTTGTCCTTGGAAACGTGAGATTCCAAAGTTTGGTGAAATTTAATGTGTGTGGTGTGTGTGTGGGGGGAAGATTACTTCCTATTTTTAATTTCCGAAGCAAAAACCACGATTGAGCCTGGGTTTCAAAACGCTCCGATTATATGGGCTACTTTGCTGCGGGGGGAGGGGGGAATCGCACCCTGTTTTAAACCAGAAATGTTTTGAACTGCGGCTTAGTCTAAAGTAGACAGACCAGATCTGACACAGTTATACACTAATCTCTATCTTGCACGTACGGAACTGCGCACACACGTGTCCTCTGGTGTCTTAAGAGTGACTCAAGTGTGATTTACTCCCACGTAAACTCACGTTGGACCCGTGAGCCAAACACCCAGGTCGGCTCACAGGTCCAGGGTGACACGTGTAGCGCATTTCCCACATGTAGGAGAGTTCACGTTTTAAAGGGTCTTGAATTTTGGGGTTTTTCCCCCTCCTTTTTCTGTTTTTTTTTAAACCGGGTTTGCCGCCCTTCTGAGGACAACGCCCGAGGCTGCAGACTCGGGAAGAGAGGAACAGACAAAAAAAAATCGAGCAAAAGAAAAGGAAAACGGAAACAGAAACTAACCCGGTTTCTCTGTAACGTGTGAATCAACCCGGCTTATATTTCTTAACTTTTTTCTTTTTAATAAAAACAAACCTCTGCTTTTGGGGTTTAACAATTTAGAAGCAGAGCAGTCCTCCCCCCCCCTTTAGCTTTTTATTTTCTTTCTTTGAAAACAAAACAATCCTCGCTTAAATTTCCACTTTGGAAAAGCGCTTAACGAGCCCTTCCAGAAGGAGCTGCCCCCTCCCCGAGGAACGCGTTTGCCGTTCCTTTCCTGGGGGAGCAAAGAACGCGAAAAGTTTGTCGGGGCGGAGGAGAAATCAAACCGGGGCGAGAAGAGAGAGAGAGAAAGCCGGCCTTTTCGGAAAAACAGGTCCGTCAACTTTCCTCTCTCGGCTGGCGGGTGGTTAATTATTACCCCTTTGATTTTATTTTTAATTAATCAATTTATTAGTAGTAGTTTGGACCGCGGGGGTTCATCCCTCGGGAGCGTCGCCCTCCCTGTGAATTCCCGGCCGCAGATCCGAGGCGGCGCAAGGCGATTTTGAATCGGTCTCCTCGGGAGTCAGCCCCATGGCAGGCCCCGGGGCTTACGCTCAAGTCAAGGGCGGCAACATTACAAATCGCCCTCTTTCTAGCCCCATAATTTTAAAAATAAATAAATAATGGGAAAAGAGTGGGCGGAAGCCTTTCCAAAAGTAACCCACAGTATCCATCGAATAGCAACAATCATAATATTTACTATGATTTTTGTTATTTTGAAGATCTCTGTGTTAGTTCTACTAATTCTATTCCCTTAATTAGTTTCTTTTGTTTTCTTCTTTCTCTTTCCTCTGTAACCACCTGCTAATACTCTGGTACTGCTCCCTACTCTGAGTATTAGTTCCTGCTAATTATTACTACAGTATCCAGTATACTGCTAAAAAGGGATCTGGGTGATATTCTAATGAGAAAACCCACCTGAGGAAAAAAACATTAGAAAATAGGGTTGTTTTTTTAAAAAAAGGTGTGAAATGGTGGAAATAAACCTGGAGGGAGCTGGAAATCTCTGGCTGCCTTACTCACGTGTAAAGGGGAGAGCAGAAACCCCCAGCAGGGCTGGAGAAGGTTTACTTTGGAGTAGACCTGGCCAGTAATGGGTTTTCTCCTCTTTGCCTTCGCAAACTTACCGACCCGGCCCCGGTTGCAGGCTTACTCTTGAGTAAATGCACACAGGGTCCCCTCCCTTAAGGTCTCCTTCCGACTTTAGCAGGTTGAACGCTCGCCTTGTGCCCCACCAAATCTTTCGATCCTATTAAAAATCCATTTTTCTGCAGTAGCAAACGCCCGGCGCTGGTTTTAGCTTTAATTAATTAATTAATTAATTTAATCTTTCTGTTCCAAAACCCTCTCATTCCAGCTTCAAAGGGAGGCGGGGGAGGGAATTTCTCTCTCTCTTTTATTTCTGGGGATGATGGGAAAAGAAAGAGCTTTATTTAAGTTTCTTTTTTTAAAAAAAAACCCCCCTCTCTCCCTTAAACTTTCTCTTTGGAGCTGGGGGGGGGGAAGGAAGAGCCCAGCTAGAAAGCGAGGAAAAGTTCTCGGATGAGGTGGAGTTTGACCGGGGAGAGGCCCCAGTGCCTCCTACACCTGAATTTCTTTCTTTCTTTTTTTCAACTCCCCCTTTTCTATTCAAGCAAGTAAAGTTTGTTTTTTTTTAGAAAAAAACACCCATTGATTTTTTTAAGGTTATAAAGGAGGACATTCAAGGCAGCCCCCCATTGCTCCCCCAAAAAAGCCCCTTATTTTAATTTCTCCAAAATAATTCATTTACAAACAAGCACCAGTTTTATTCTTCAATTTCCCTTTCCTCCCCTTTTAATTTCTTTGCCAGCCTTTCACCTCTCCCCACCCCCTGCAGTAAGGCCACCACTGCCA